TGATCCCGCAAAGATTTTGGCGATACAGTCTTGGCCAACACCTCAGAGTATCACGGATGTGCGAAGTTTTCATGGTTTGCCCTCCTTTTATAGGCGATTCATTCCACACTTCAGTAGTACCATGGCGCCAGTTACGGATTGTATCAAGTCTGTTTCGTTTAAATGGACGGATGAAGCTGACCAAGCATTTCAAGTGATCAAAACAAAGCTTACTTCAGCACCAGTTCTTGTTCTTCCCAACTTTCATATAGCCTTTGAATTACATTGTGATGCAACTAAAGTTGGCAGTAGAGCTGTTTTGAGCCCATCTAGTCGTCCGGTAGCATTTTTTAGTGAGAAGATTGCGGGATCTCGTGAGCGGTATAGCACATACGACGTGGAGCTTTATGTTGTGGTTCAAGCCGTTAAGCATCAGTGGCACTATCTTTTTCATCGCGAGTTTGTTCTTTATACCGACCATGACGCACTTAAGCATACGGGATCTCAAGATAAAGTATCAGCTAGACACGCCTCATGGTTTGCATATTTGCAGCAATTCTCTTTTGTTATTAAGCATACCGCGGGAACACACTCTTTTGACAACATTACACGTGTTAGTTCAAGGATTTGATGTGCTTCCTGATCTCTATCCAACAGATCCTTTTTTTGGAAAAATATGGAAGGATACGGAACAGGGGATTGGTTCTGTTTATCTCATTTATGATGGCTTCTTGTTTCGGGGAGCTCACTTGTGCATTCCTGATTGTAGTTTGAGGCTGCAAATAATTCGAGAGCTTCATGGAGAGGGCCATATCGGACGAGACAGAACGGTGAAATTGGTTAGTTCTTCTTTCTTCTGGCCAACGTTAAGACGTGATGTTGAGAGTTTTATTGTACGTTGTGGGATATGTCAAGCAGCAAAAGGAAAATCTACCAATTATGGCTTATATTTACCTCTTCCAATTCCTACGCAACCATGGGCGGACGTGAGTATGGATTTTGTACTTGGTTTGCCAAGAACTCAAAGAGGTAACGATTCGATATTTGTCGTCGTCGATCGTTTCTATAAGATGGTTCATTTTATACCATGTAAGAAAACCACAGATGCTGTTCAAGTTGCGGTTTTATTTTTTCGAGAAGTGTATAAACTTCACGGGTTACCATTATCTATTGTCTAGTATCGAGACTCGCGTTTCTTGAGTCATTTTGGCGGTCACTTTGGCGTCTTCTTCACACCAAATTGGACATGAGTTCGGCGTATCATCCAAAGACGGATGGTCAAACAGAAGTTACTAATAGAGCTTTGGGAGATTTGTTGAGATGTTTAGTTGGAGATAACATCAAGTCATGGGAATCAATTCTTTGTCAAGCTGAATTTGCTCATAATAGAGTTGTGAATCGCAGTACGGGTTTAAGTCCCTTTCAAGTTGTTTATGGTTATCTACCTCGCTGTCCTATAGACATGGGAATCAATCCAGACAGAACTCGCTTTCATGGTAGAGCTTGTGATTTTTTCGAAGATTTTGCAACATTACACGAGCAGGTTCACTCCAATTTGGAGATTTCTACGGCCAAGTATAAAACTGCTGCGGATATTCATCGTCGTGATGTTGAGTTAAATGTTGGAGATCCTGTGTGGGCAGTACTAACCAAGGACCGTTTTAAACCAGGCACTTACAACAATCTGAAATCAGGAAAGATAGGTCCTCTTGAGATTGTTGAGAAGATTAATAACAATGCTTACCGTCTCAAGCTTCCTCCTCATATACACACAGCAGACGTGTTCAATGTCAAGCATTTGGTCTCATTTGATGCTTAAGATGAAGCTGAAAATTCGAGGACGAATTTTCTTCTCACCCCGGGCGACCTGATGTAGCGTCATCCTCATTACTTCTAGTTCAAGTTATTCTCATTGTTTCAGTTTTCCTTTTCCGATTTGATTTCCATTTCTATGTTAAACTATACTTTACTTTTCTGTTAGGGTTTTACTAATGCTAAGGTCGGTTGTGACTTAGCTTATATAAGGCTTTGTATTGTCTCTTTAGAGATTCGGTTTTTAATTGAATAAGAGAAGAGATTTTCTTCGAAACAGAAGTCTTCGAGTTCTCCTTGTTTATAAAAGAATTCAGAGCAACAAAACAGAGTTTCTTGATCCACTACAAGAAATTTGTTCATTGATAGCGCTAAAAATATGCTATCTTACGTTATAGATAGCGAATTCACAAACGCTATGTTCTCGGCAGCTATAGTAGGTATCACCCATACAAAAGCATTTTTTGTCGTGCTATTATAAGTCCTTCTAGTATAGCACTAATCGAATGCTTTAATATAATTTTTTATAACTCATAATTTTTGCTATATTATATTTTTGTGTAGCAAATTTTATGTGCTACATTATAAAATGATGAATTGCAAAATTATTTTAAATCTATAAATTTAAAATCCAAATAATTATATGCTACAAAACCAATTTGTTGAAAGCACATTTCTTTTCATAGATCATCAAAAAATACATAATTGTAATTTTACAAAATAGTTCAGCATTTAACACCATTTGTTATAAAAACAAAGGTCATAAACAACGTCATAAGTACTGCAATTCAGATGGACTAAACAAAGAACTCCATTGGTTTGCTCTTTCCCTCCCTCCAAGGACTTAGGATGATGTCTCATTCCAAGCAATTCTCATTTCACTGCCTTCTCTATATCCTCTGCAGTTCAGTTCTCTTTTTGAAGTTGGATGTCTTTGTATGAGTAAAAGCAAGTGACTTTCTCAATTACTTCTACAAGATAATGGCTAGAAAACCGTGAGAAAAAGAGGGAACCTGAGATTCATGATGGTCTTTTTAGCATCAGACTTCAAAGACAATCCAATGACCTAAACAGCTTCTGTTGTAGCTTATTCACCAGCCTTAAAAAAAATATTAAAAGAAACTTGCCTTAGCCTTCTGGACCATGCTTCCTTTGTTCTTGTCTTTCATTCCCACAGTCAACAACGTTAACACCTCTGTTGGCAAACATGGAACAAAGGGAAAACAGATTACTGAATTATGATTTACAAAAAATAAACGTTGATGATAAGAAAGGAAATTTTACTTACTCTTCTATGTTGCTAGTCCATTGTGCTTCAGGATCGTAGAGATTGTTACCACATTTGTGATTGCTAAATACACAAAAGATTAGATTATACGTATATAACACACAAGACGAGAAACAGATCTAAACAAGATTAAGTGATAGTAAGAATCTATACCCATTCCAGGTATCACTCAAACTCCACTTCAAAAGCCTTTCTTTATCTCCTGCTTTCTCAATGAATCCAAGCACATGAGAGTACAATTACTAGCTAGGACTAGTATTAACCTTTTGTCCCTTCACTGTCAAAAACAGAACCCATGTAAGTTAAAAAAAAATAACGTGTGTATGAAATAAAAATGTAGTAGCTAACCAGAGAAACCCAAAACTTGTGACTTAGACAACCAAAACTTGCAAATTTAGAAACCAAAACCTGAAAATTCATAAACTAAAACCTGTAACAGAAAATCAAAACCTGCAGCCATCAATCTGGAAAGCTATTTCCACTTCCACAATCATCAGAAGCCATAAAAAACAGACTCCAATAAAGGATCAAGTATGAAACATTACCATTAACATTACAAATCTGTAGAGTAATCGTTATCTAAGTCGCAACAACCTAGACTAAAGTAACCAAATTAAATTCTTAAAGATCACATCCTAACAAATCTTAATAGAGTACACATGAACCATTTGAAGCAGCAATGAGAAAACGAGAAAAGTAACGACATCTTAATAGAGTAAACATGAACAATTGCAAACATTTTTCAAAGACTGCACATATATACCAAAGAGGAGACATTGCGACAGTCCATAAATAAGGCATGGTTTGCTTGAATCCTAAGAACTACGTGAGTAAAGACTCCATCATGTTCATTGAAAAAAAAACAAAGAAAAAGCGGAAAGACAGACCTCTCTTGGTTATTTCTTGAGCTTTGCTCTCTTGCCACTCTCACTAAATGGAAAAGAGCTCTGGAAGTATTTGAGGATTCATTGTATCTGGGAAACAAGTAAGATATTAGAGTAGAAAAAGGGAGAGTTCTATGATGTATGAAAATAGATATGTAAAAACTCACTAGAAGAACTCGATGGAGACTTTTTGCTTTCTAAATCGAAATCATTATCTCACTGCTAAATCAATCTAACCCAAATTCATCTACAATTGCTAATAAATCTAGTGAATCCTAACAAAATCGTACATATGGAGCCGAGAGAAAGAGAAAGACGGGAGTCGGAGGGAGAAGGATTAAGCAATTGATCGAGAAACCTTTCAGCTACGAAGAACCAAGCGACGAAGATGGTTTGGGTTTCACCTACGTTTCAGCCACCGAAATTAAATTTATGGTTTAAGGCTATCTCAGACCACCGACGAAGATGGAGACTGAAGATTTCATCAAATTGAAGAAGAATAAGATAAATTTGGGGATGAAAGCGAGGGTGACAAAGAGATAATGGATCTGAAATCTGAAGCGAAACTGATAAAATCTAATAGATCTAGGGTTGCATAATCAGAGGAAGAGAGTAAGCGAGAGAGGAGAAAAGAAGAATAGAGAGGTATAGGAGGAGAGAACGATGAAGGAGAAGAAGATAGAAATTAGGGTTGTCTCTTAATAATTTAAAAAAAAAAAATTTTTTGCTAAAGTGTTAAGCGGTTTTTGTGAAATATTTGCAAAGTTTTGGCGGTCATAAGTGATTCTACGTCTCTTCTTTGCTATTATAGGGCTTAGCATTTTTCAAATGCTACGATATAGTTACAAATCCCTCGATATCATCTTTAATAGCATTTGCAAAATCCGTGCTATCCGAATATGCTATCAATGCACACTTTTTTTGTAGTGATCCATTGATTCTTGAAACCTTGTCTTGTTACTATCCCGCTGCATAATTAACCACTCCAAATTGTGTAGAAGAAAAAGTTCTTAGTTGAGGAGAATAGACGTAGGGCATATATACTTAGAGAATGCTTGTTAGGCGAACGCAAACAGCTTTGAGGTATATTTCCTTTCCATGATTACGAATTAGTAAATGATAAGACCAATGGAATAAGAATGACGTCAAAATCAAGCTAAACAGCCCTCGACTATAAAGCACTTATATAAAAACATCCTATATCAAGACGTTTCAACATTAAGAGAGCTCTCATTTTCGAAATTGAAACATCAAAACGCAAGCAAAGAACACCTCGCAAAACCTAAATCCAAGTGCCCAAGACAACATTTTCATCGTACTAGGGGAGAGGAGCTCTAGCTTCTAACAACTCCTCCTTCTCCTTATCTATTAGAGCTTCAAGGTCTAAGCACTTCTTCTTAAATGGCTGAAGTTTTTCGTCCATTTCGTGAAGCCGGGCCAAACAAGCCTCTTCTTTCTTCTTCTTTTCCTTTACTTCACCAAGTTTCTTCTCCAACCAATCCAACTTAAACCCTGCTTCTCTCAAATATGACAGTGCAGCGCCCGCATCAAAGAGACCATCATTGGAGAGTTCTTGAGGCGATCGGCATAGCGTTTGGGTTAAGCTCAAGAGAACATTCATGTATGCCGTCTTCATATATGGATTATTTAGACGAAATTTTGATGCAAAATCTTGGTGACTTTCAAACAAAAGCTTCACTGATTCTACCTGTGTGTGAAAAAGATATTTAAAGTAAAACCACATCATATATGAAGCTTGTAAATATATCAAGAAACTGAACTATACATTGTGGTTAGAATTTCTACTAAACAACAAGACAAAAACACAACAAAAAGAGTTATATTTTTCTAATTGTTTACCTGTGAAGGAAGAACTTGAAAGCCATTGACATCTACCGTTTCCACTACTGATGAAGATTCCTCTGAGCCATCTAATTTTCCTACAACTTCAAGAACATCTATCTTGGCAACAATTGTGAGTTCTCCATTCACCACCAATCCCGCTTTGGCATGAAGTTCAGTGAGGGTAATCATTTCTTGAAACCCCCAGTTAGGAGCCTTCTGATCAAACCAGTGCTGAGTCTCTGCAATATTATTATGGGTAAATTGCAGGCCAGGGCAGAAGACCAACTTTTATTTTCATGGTTTGGCAAAGTGAGAATTGGTTCTCATGTTTTGACAATTTAGCCAAATTCTGACCATTTTACCCATTCCAGTGTAACGACGTACTGTTCCATGTACGGTTCAATTATGCGGTTCAGTTAGGTACACTATTCCGGTTAGGCTAAGATAATATTTTTATTTAATCTTTTGTGCGGCTGTACAGTGAAAAAGGGGAGTAATAACATTAAAAAATAAAGAGATATCAGTATTTAATGCCCAAAAAGTTGAGACATGACTCTTGTCACAATTAATGCAAAACTCATCATTACTTGTTGTAATATTAGTTTATACGTTTGAAAAATTGTAAGAGATAAGCATGAACCATCAAACAAACAAATTAGTCTCAATGAATGTGATGCTGGAGAAGTTTTGATCTTGTTGATTTACAAAGTTTGGAGCCAAGACAAGCATTGATCGTGTAAGTAATCAAGTTGGTTAAGAAGTTTTTTGTTATTACACAGTAGGATCTTGATTGTGTTCGAAATCAACATTGTTTTTTATATAAAAACCCATAAATTTTTTTTTCTAATTTTGTTTGTTGAAAATGCTAAATGAGGATATATATATATGTTTAAAAGTGTGTACTTGGAAATTCTTTTTGTTTTTTGTAGATATAATCATGTTTTGAGTTGCATTTAATGGGGTTCTGCTGAATTTATGATGCAGGTTGGTAATGGATATTCCCGTATTTACTACGGTGGGTGAGTGGAGATGCAAAGAAGAAGAATGAAAATTTGAACCAGAGGAAGGCATCTTTGGTCGCTGTGTACGTGTTAAGAAAAACATGACGTACACGGAATTTGTACGTACATTATGCGAGGTTTTTAGTGTGAAGTGTTTTTAAGAACAGAAAAGTCATACAACAAACAATGTCTTATCTCGCAATCAAACAATGCTTTTGCTACAAGCAACCTAGGTCATGTCCTACAAAATTGGAGATGGTTTGCGTTGATGATACTTGTCCATGGCATTTGACAGCTCAAGTTGTCAAGAATTCAGAATGTTTCAAAATTACATCGTATGAATGGTAATTGTGTGCAATTTAGTATTGGAAGATCTGTTTTACCTAAATCAACGTACGATTGTTGAATTAACCAATGTTGCAATTTAAGAATTTGTAAATATTACACGTACGTTGCCTCAACAATGGTACATATTGTGAAAGACGTACACGTCCATATACTCAAAGGCATCATTCTAATTTTGTACTCATCTTTAACCTGGTTTCTTCTTCAGCAACTTTAATTTTATGGCCATTGTTCACAATTTTCTTATAATCTTTTGTTTTTTTACATTTAATTTATTTATTGATTTTGTAAATCTAGTTTATTGCGTATTTTGAAGTCGAAAAACTAAAATAGAAACTCTATAACTATTACGTATACCGTCTCCACAATAGTACATAATCTAACAGAAGTACATATTCATTTTATAATCAATACTTTGTATACCGTAAACTACATACACGTAAATAGAAAAAACTCAAATAAGGACATATTTCTACCAAAAATATCTTACCAATTTCATACAAGTTTTCTACGAACTCAATTAAAAAAATATTAATAATATGTTTTCAATAAATAAGTGAAACCAACTATGATACTCTAATGAGACTCACAAAACTCCAGCTCTGTTACGCAATTTATAAAATTATATGTCAAATACGAGAAGCAGTAGAAATAAACCTCACAACTAAAGAAAAATATTGAGGAATAGTATGTTTTAAAGTGACACAGAGCCGTGTGTGGTTTGAAAATCTTAAACACTTGTCAGTAGATGATTCGCTCTTCCATTTTATAAATATTTATTATTTTTATACATTTAGTTAAAATTCGATTTTTCTATCGTTTAAGATCCATTTTCATATTTTTATTTATATTTTAAATAATATTTTATTTATTATCATCGAAGACTATTCACGATTAGCAATATCATATACACATATGTGCGTAACGGTAATAATATATACGTACACGGTAGTAATGTGTACGTACACTGTAGTAATGTGTTTGTGTAGTAATGCGTGTGTATATATGTACGTAAATATCTAAATAATTTGTATATTTACGTTTCAAATATTTTTTGACCATAAAAACAAAACATTCAAATCATGTATGAACAACACATGAAAAAAATACAGTCATACAAATAACTTAATTTTGATGTCAAAAAATTAAATTAATGTTGTACCATGAACGCTTCAATAAATATTTTTGTGTACGCACATAGTATAAGACTTATGTGATTTAGGCATTTTTAGGATGTAACTGTTTGGAGAGGTCGTACACGTATACGTGTATCTCAATATTATCGTGTACGTCTATAGGTTAAGTTTAAAATCTTATTAATTATCAACAAATAATATCGTATAACATAACGCTTACTAAAAAATTTCAAAATAACAATTAAATAGAAACAACATCAAAACAAAAAAATATCATATATATCGTACTAAATACATAATATTTGGCTAACTCGCCGTATGCACTATCGTAGATACCAAACATTACAAAAATTCCTAAAAGGACCATAATTCTCTTCAACAGAACCACATATAATTTTATTGTAATATACCAAGTACTTGATCCTCTTGTGTTGATAGGTTCCCTTCTAAACAACACCAATGCGAATATTTTTTTTTATTCATAGTAGGGATCTAAGTGTAAACATTTTTATGTCATTTTGTCCAATCCGATAAGCAAAGTGTGAATATTATGTACATTATGTGGGACCTTGTTGATGAAACTAACCTTGGGTTAGAGATGAAAACACAACAAAACCCATATTTGAGGTATCAAATGTTGTTGAGGAAGTAGATGAGGAAGTAGATGAGGAAGAAGAAGTCGAGGACGATAAAGAGGATGAACAGAAAGAGATTGGGGATGACGAAGAGGGTGTTGAAGATGACGATTAAAAACGATAGTAAAGGTAGTAGCAAAAATTACATTAAAATAGATGGACTGAATTTTTGTTGAGAAATATGGAATATGACATGTCAGAGATGTTGGTGACACTCTATTTACCGTGGAGCTAATATGAAAATTCAGTTAATTAAAAGAATCGTGTACGTATACTAATGAATGTGTACGAGATTGAAAAATCATCGATAATTTTGGAGAGAATTATGACATTCAACCATTTGTGAGTCATAACCAAAAGGGAAGACATCATTTTTGGAAGAATTCGATGATTTAGTCAATGTCTGACTTGATGAAACAGAAGTATAAATTAGTATGACATGAGAGACATTGTAAGTTGTGAGTATGTTTAGAAACACTTATTTTTTTGCAAATAACAATGTCTTCATCTCCAGTAGGACTATCGTAGAATATTAATTTATTACATCAATAAATATTGCGTACACGTTTATAAAATCAATATTGCGTACACAAAAAATTGTGTACACGTACATAGAAGAAATTCAGAGGGACAAAATATATAACTATGGTTTACTTTTTGTCTAAGTCACAAATTGCGTACGTTAACAAAAAAAACTAAAGAAGAAAGCACACCTAGTACAAAAAATCAATTTCTTGAAAATTTTGCAGAATCTGGGTTTGCTATTGAAGAAAAAAGAGAATTCTGAAATGATATGATCATACGAAAGATATACTTGAAATCAAAATTTTGAAAACGATTTATCCTGATTTAGGTTAGGCATCAAGTTTTTAACGAAGATTCGATTAAGATTACTCCTTGCAGGAGAGACGATACTCTGTTCCGCCTCTCTGCAAATTTTGAAAAAAAAATAGATCTTTGAAAACGGTTTCGTAAGACTTGTGATTCGGGTACTAAAATCGATCGCATGAAAGTAAATTGACATTATGTTCTACTCGCCAAAGACGCAAATTGGAGATACGATAATCTAACATATTTACATGTCAACATAATCAATGATACGTACACTATAAATTGCATGTACGTACACTGAAAATTTTTAATGAAGGGTATAATTGTAATTTGGCAGTCGTCTTCAACCTCTGCATCCCTAATTTTGTAGCTGTTTTCAACAGTTATCTCAGAATTTTGTTTTTTTTATACATTTTGAATGTTTCTTACATGTAAATATTGTACATCTAGCATATCTTAAGTTCGAAAAACTAAAGAGTTTGAGTTTTGTTTAATTGTCCGGTGATTAAGTCGATTCCGTCGAAAGAACACTTACTTTTTCACCATTTTTATCATTTCTCCAACTCGCCAGAAATCTCTTAATCTATTAACTCTAATCTCTCTACTTGATAATGAAGCAAAATCAATTATTTCACTACAAATTTTCAGATTTAAAATAAAATTTCCTTTGATTTTAGTATAAAGAGCATCTCGCCTTTGTACTCGGATTATTTCATTTTTTTTTCTTTAAATTCTGATTTTCTAAAAAATTTTATATGTTTAAGTAAAAAAAATATATAATCATTTTTTCTTTCATGTAGTTTGGTTGTAGAAGAGTTAAGAAACGTAACCAAACAAGAATAGTTGTTCTCTAAGGGTAATTTGGTCTCAAATAGCTCAATTTGCTATTCTCTGAAAGGTCAATCTCACTTTGCCAAAACATGAGAACAAAACTCAAAATATTGTTTTACGTGAAAATAACTTTATTATAAACCATAACTCAACACGGAAGCATAAAACTACCATAAACCATAAAGCAGTAAAGCATATATATATAGATAACAATAACCTCTTATTTTGGAGAGTTTTCCTGAATATTGATTTACTAATGTTAGAGAAAATTTAGCGTGTATTCTCCATCCAATAGGCAAAGATTCAATATCCGGAACATGTAGATACAGAGACAAACAATTAGCCTTATTATATCCCTTGGGATAGAACCGAAGATGCCTGCAAACAAAAACCAAACAAAAAACAATCATCTAACCTAAATTGGGCAAAAAAAACATTAGAAAACAATTTATGTTCTTACCATTTGCAGCCATCGACAACGAATTTATCAGAATAAATCGATGCATCTTGCAAAGAAAAGGAATCTCTTATCACCCACGTAATCGTCGTATCAACTTTTGTCCCCATTGATCTCGATGATGACTTCTACACCATGTTTTCATTACAAGTTACCAAAATAAATTCGTGAATTAATCTACATATACATTTTTACAGGGGGTTTTTGCAAAAAGTCTTTTGGATTCGGGTTTTATCCGGGTTTAATTCTGTTCGGATCCTGGATAAGATAATTAAGGAAATATTTTTAAATAAAACGACATTAATTAGTAATAAATTCGTTTTTCATATTTAATATCACAAAAAATCTCTTTTGGTAATATTTTCTGATTTGATTTTTTAAAGGAAAACGACATTAATTAGTAATAAATTCGTTTTTCATATTTAATTTCACAAAGAATCTATTTTGGTAATATTTTCTGATTTAGGCTATCAAATAACAATAAAATCGAAATCAAATCTAAATTTTTAATGATTATCATACATAAATTCGAGATAATATATAATGGAAACTAATCTCAACAGATTAAATTTCTAATAGAAGATATATTAGCAAAACGAAATCTTTCCTATTATTCTGGAAACTAATCCCGATTACATCATTCATTACCTAAATTCGTTTTTTTTTCCTTTATGGTTTTAAAAGATATGTGGTATATATTATTTGTTCCTATAATCTCGATTATGCTCCTATAATCTTGATTTCATATTCTCCAATTTATGTATTCAAATCTAACTAATTCCAACTAATTAATACTAAATATTTTTTTTTCCTTACCTAAGATCTAATTTAGTTATGATTTTATTAAATCTCATTTACTATTTACTATAACTTTCCCTCCTAATATTCGAGTAATCGCGTATAAAGAAAACAATTAATACTCTAATCATAGCATATTCCTATAGTATAAACGATTACATATCTTTTATTCCAATTTCTAAATGGTATCAAATCTTTTTTGCTTGGTCATCAAAATACGCTTACATCTAACTTCGTCGAGTATAAATACTTTGCACATATTGATAGCCTAGAGACATTAGTAGCGATGGCAGCAATGACTCTAGAGTCATTTCTTGGAGTTTATACATGGTCTCTTTTGACGAGAAACCTTGCATTGGTTCATCGAGTTATGAAAGTGAGGCCAACAGTAACTCTCCTGGTGACCTTTTCTTTGAATATCTTGAAGCTGCTATGCCATTTGGTCGTGAACCATTGACCGACAAGGTAAGTTAATTATCTCTGCTTATACATGTAACAAAAGTAGTATGACTTCTATAAACATGTTATACACACATAGTGTTCAATTTTGTAGCCAGTGAAAATGTTATGCTCTGTCTCATAATAATGTTTAACCTTAATATTGCAGATCTAAACCCGCCGTCGCAATTTCCAGCACTATGAACATAAAGAAGCTGTGATATTTCGCCTTCGAGTTGGGTCTCTATTGATACACTTTCACGAATTTATTTTTCCAGATCTTTCTGTCTAAATTTTTTTTGGAAGATAGCAGAAGTTTGCTAAGAATATAGGTTGATGGAAGGGAAGGATGACCTGCGCAAAAGCTCATCTCGAAGAGAGACGACATTGAGCGAGGGATTAGAGAACTACGGTTCGGTTTCTTTAATGATTTATTAGTTTCACTTTTACATTTTGTTTTATTACTGTGGAAAACTTTATGTAATTGAAACAGTTTGTTTCCATACTGAATCAATAAAATTGTTGTCATTTAATACATAAATGGTTTCGAGAAAACACTTCAACATGATTGCAGAAACAAATAAATCATTTTTCAAACAAATTTAATTTTGACCTATAAATATAAACAATTGTTGAAACTAATCAATATAATTTATTGGATTTTACAACTCTAATAATTTAGTTAACCGGATAATATGGACGGAGTTATATGATGGAACGAGAACGGAACGGTATACCACGGGTGAAATCCTAGAATTAACAATCTACATATACATTATAAATATTTATAAAAGATATTAATACGGGACGGTTGAAAATCTAGATATAACAATCAAAATACAATTATGAAGTTTGGATCTATTTTTACTAAAATGAAATTAAAATTTACTAATTCTACCATTTATACAACTCTCAATATCAATATATACATTTAAATTAATAAAAAAATTCATATATGTCAAATAAAATATTTAAATTAATAATTAAAAAAAAAAATCAAATAATATTTAGGCCCGCGGTGTACCGCGAATTAACATCTAGTAACAAAACAAAACCAAATAAAGATTAAGATTCCACTATGGAACATCATTCTAAACAGTTTTTTCTTTACAAATTACCACGTTTGAGAAACTGAAACAATTAAGCCACAACTTCAAAGGCTTCGAAGCTTAGATTAGGAATAAAAACACTTCCGTTCCTCATATCTAGCCATCTAGGGTTAGTAAGATTTGACCTAAGTCTAAACGAAATTTTGCAAGAAAAGCATTTGACTTCTCCTAAATTATTTTTATACATTGACCTTCACAAAATGACAAAAATGACCCATAACCTAGTCGTTATATAAGGACGTTTATTTGACATAATACTGAAACATAACGTTTCATTGTTTATTCTAGCCCTGGGCATATGGGTAGTCCGTTCGGGTTCGGATTAAATGGATAATGAATTTACGACCCATTCGGGTATTTCTAAACATTCGGTATCGGTCCGGTTCAAGTATCGTCGGGTTCGGGTCGGTTTCGGTAAAAACATTTAGACCCTATAAATACCCAAAAATATAGGTACCCGTTCGGTTTGGGTATTTTATATGTAAATATCAAGTTTTGTACGTAAAATATGGGGTACCAAAAAAAAACTTTAAAATTTGTTAAATTTAATAAATTTAGTTATATTTGAATACATTTTGTTAAATTTTGACAAACATAACAAATAATTTTTGGATAGTTTGGTTGTTTTGGGTATTGAAGTCTAAAGTTAATTGACATATTTAGATTTATAATTTTAATTCTAGATAATTATATTATATTAAAATTATATATAATTAATATTTGGGATATTTAATTATATGTTCGGGTATTCGGGTACCCTGTTTGGGTAACGGGTAATATCCGGACCGACCCGATACCCACGGGTTTACAAAAACTGTACTCAATGAAATAATTTTCTCTTACCCTTAACCGCTTTAAACAGGTTTTTTCGGTCCGGGTATCGGTCCGGATTTCGGGTCCGGTTTTTTTTGCCGAGGCCTTGTTTATTCACTCTCAACAAGTGTTTTTCATTAATCCTCAATTTATTAAAGGAGAAGAATGTGTTGTTAGGTCAGCACCACAATTTTAAAGAAAAAATATAGAAATATCCTATATCTCAAAACGTTTCCACATCAAGAGAGATAAAACATCAAAACGCAAGCAAAGAACACCTACCAAAACCTAAATCTAAGTGCCCAAGAACTCTCAAGTCATTAGACAATATTGTCAATGTCATCGTACAAAGAGAGAGGTTTTCTAGCTGCTAACAACTCTTCTTTCTCCTTACTTATCTGATCTTCAATGTCTAAGCACCTCTTCTTAAATGGCTGAAGCTGTTCGTCCATTTCTCGTAGCCGGACTAAACACGCCTCTTCTTTCTTCTTCTTTTCCTTTACTTCACCAAGTTTCTTCTCCAACCAATCCAACTTAAGCCCTGTTTCAATCAAATATTCCAGTGCAACACCTGCATCAGAGAGACCATCATTGGAGAGTTCTTGAGGCGATTGACACAACGTTTGGATCAAACTCAGGAGGACATTCATGCACGCCGTCTTCAAATATGGATTCTTTAGACGAAACTTTGATACAATATCTTGGTGTTTTTCAAACAAACGCTTCACAGATTCTACCTGCATGTGAAAAGGATATATAAAGTAAAACCACACATATATATCTGAAACTTGTACATATATCAAGAAACTGAACTATATAGTGAAACTCTTACTGTTTATTCTTTTCATATATATTCTACGTGTGTAAGAGAATTTTTTTTGTCATATACTTATTTCAAACCACAAGATAAGTCATCTAGTAGAACCCATGATGGCTTCTCTTGTGGTTAATATTTCTTCAAAACAACAGTCTTACCTGTGAAGGAAGAACTTGAAACCCATTGACATCTACGGTTTCCACTACTGATAACGATTCCTGTGAAACATCTAATTTTCCTACAACTTCAAGAACATCTATCTTGGCAACAACTTTGAGTTCTCCATTCACCAGAAATCCCTTTCTAGCATGCAGTTCAGTGAGAGGAATCATAGCCAGAAACCCCCAGCTAGATAACTTCTGATTAAACCACTGCTGTCTCTCTGGAAAATCGCAAAACATATTTCATCTCATCAGTTACTTTAGTGGATTAATATCATCAATAGTTTACAAATTGACACAAACATAAACCATAAAGTAGCAAGCCTACAAAAACATTAACCTTTTAGTTGAGAGAGTTTTTCAGAAAATTGATTTACTAAAGTTAGAGAAATTTTAGCGTGTCTTCTCCATCCAATAGGTAAAGATTCTTTATGAGGAACGTCTACAAACAGAGAAATATTATCATTGTTATAATATCCCTTGGGGAAGGCCTTAATACGCCTGCAAGCAAAAACAATAGAAAAACAATAAAAAAATATTATCCTGTAAACCCTAAATTGGACGAAAAAAATTAGAAAACAATTTATCATCTTACCACTTGCAGCCACCAACAACTAATATATCAGAATAAATTGGTGCAGATTGCAAAGAAGAGAAATTTTTAATCACCCAAGTAATCGTGGTATCAACTGTTGTCTCCATTGATCTCAATGATGACTCCTACACACAATTTTTGTAAATCGAAAAGTGAAAGAACAATCTCGAGAAACAAAACCAAAAGAAAGATTAAGATTCCACTATGGAACATCTTTCTAAACAGCTTTTATTTATTTCTTTACAAGTTACTACGTCTGAGAAACTAAATATAGTCAAGGAAATTTTTTTTTAAAAAAGTAGAACGATTAAATATAATTTTAGTATTTACCTCTCAGAGTGAGGTCGAAAGTCAGACAAAACGATGTACTGAAACAGTGTAGCCACAACTTTTAAGCTTTCAAGTTTTATATTAGGAATAGGAAGACTCATATCTAGGGTTAGTTAATAAGATTTGGCATAAAGTCTAAAAGATAATTTGCAAGAAAAGCATTTGACTTTCCCTAAATTATTTTTAAAACAATGACCTTCACAAAATAGTAAAACTGACCCTGATCATTATATAAGAACGTTTATATGACATAATATAGAAACATAACGTTTCATTGTTTATTCATTCTCGATAAGACGATAACAAGTGGTTTTTCATTAATCCTCGAACAATCTTTCTAGTTACTTCGTTCAAGGTAAACATGTTAGTAATCGAACCTTCTTCAAAAAGGTCAATTTATTAGAGGAAAAATACTAAATCAAGGAGGAGAATGTGTGCTAATAGATCGGAAACACAATTTTATAGAAAAAAAAAATATAGCAACATCCTAAATCAAGAAATTTCCACATCAAGGGAGATAAAACATCAAAAGACAAGCAAAAGAGAAATCCAAGTGTCCAAGAACTCAAAAGTCATCAGACAACATTGTCATCGTTCAAGGAGAGAGGAGCTCTAGCTGCTAACAACTCTTCTTTCTCCTTATCTATCTGAGCTTCAAGGTCTAAGTACGTCTTCTTAAATGGCTGAAGCTGTTCGTCGATTTCTTGTATCCGGGCCAAACAAGCCTCTTCTTTCTTTTTCTTTTCCTTTACTTCATCAAGTTTCTTCTCCAACCAATCCAACTCAAACCCTGCTTCTCTCAAATATGCCAATGCAGCGCCAGCATCAGAGAGATCATCATTGGAGAGTTCTTGAGGAGATTGACATATCGTTTGGGTTAAACTCAAGAGGACATTCATGTACGCCGTCTTCAGGTATGAATTCTTTGGACGAAATTTTGATGCAATATTTAGATGTCTTTCAAATAAAGACTTCACAGATTCTTCCTGCGAGTGGAACATAAAAGTAAAATCACAACATATCTAAAGCTTGTACATATATAAAGAAAGTGAAGTATACAATGCGAAACTCTTTTGAATCTTTCATATTTTTTGCATTTAAAAGTATTTTTCATATTCTTGTTTCAAAACAGAATAACATCTTGTGGTTGGAGTTTCTACAAAAACAACAGAAAGTGTTATATTTTTTCTTATTTGTTTTACCTGTGAACGAAGAACTTGAAACCCATTGACATCTATGGTTTTCATTACTGGTGAATATTCTTCTGATACATCTAAATTTCCTACAACTTCAAGAACCTCTATCTTGGCAACAACTATAAGTTCTTCATTCATCAGAAATCCCCTTTTGTTGTTAAGTTCGGCGAGGGTAATCATTTGTGAATAGCCCCAGTCAGGAACCTTTTGATCAAACCAGTGTTGAGTGTCTGCAAGATCTCAAAACATATTTCATCTCATCAGTTACATCTCCAATGGATATGATATTAATGTTCACAACTTAACACAGAAGCATAAAACTAACATAAACCGTAAAGAAGCAAGCCTAGAAAACAATAACCTTTTAGTAGAGAGAGTTTTCCCGAAAATTGATTTACTAAACTTAAAGATAATTTAGCATGTCTTCTCCATCCAATAGGCAATGATTCTTTATTAGGAACGTCTAGATACAGAGACAAATAACCAGCCTTGTTATTTCCCTTGGGATAGACCCGAAGACGCCTGCGAAAACCAAACAAAAACAGTCATTTAACTTAATTTTTTCTTTTCTTTTTCTGACAAAAAGTTGAACCTAAATTGGACGAAAAACATTAGAAAAGAGTTTATCTTCATACCATATACAGCCACCAACAACGAATTGATCAGAATAAACTGATGCTGATTGCAAAGAAGAAAAACTTTTTATCTTCCAAGTAATCGTCGTGTCAACTTTTGTCTCCATCTATCTCGATGATGACTCCTACACACAATTTTTGTAAATTGAAAAAATCAAAGAATCAAAACAAAAATATAGATTCCACTATCGGACATAGTTCTAAACAGCTTTTTTTCTTTACAAAGTTACAACGTTTGAGAAACTGAAAACAGTCAAGGAAATTAAAAAGTAGAAAGATTTTAAAAATTATACCTCTCTCGAAAAAAAAAGACGGGGACAATCGCAGCACAACTTTAAAAGCTTCCAAGATTAGACGAGGAAGACTAAACTAATGCAAATTGCTAAACGCTTCGGCTGCTCAGCAATAGGGTTAATAGTGCAGCCACAACTTTTATTGTCTAAAAACAAATTTTGCAAGAAGGATATTTGATTTTCACAAAATAACAAATAAGACCCTAGAAAGTAAGAACTTTATCTATACTAGTATCTTTGCAACACTTTGGTGACGGGTGGGTAAAAATGATTATGGGTTAATCGGAAATCCGACCCGTTTTTTAAAATCATTCACAAAAAATTTGTTGGGTCGGGTTATATTTAACCCAACTCATACACCGGATATTCCATATTTAATAATTTAGATATTTAGAAGATTTTTGATTAAGATTTAGAATTATGATTCTCCTATCATCTTTGTTTGATTTGTTTTTAACTGTTTTGAATTATCATATAATACATAAAGTAAAAAAAAAACAATTTTTTTTCTGAATATACTGTGATTCGAAATTTTAAAAACGGACATATATTATCTAATTGACGAAAATATGTGTTCAATGTTCTACATCGATTAAAATATTTAAACAATGATTCAGAATCATATCATAAATAAGATCAACATTAAAAAAAAAAAGGATCAACATTAATAAAATAAATGAGTTTTTTGGCCGGACGGGTTTGGCGGGACGGGTTTTTGAATCAACAATAATAAAAAGATTAAAATATCATTAATCCGCCGCTTCAATACAGATTAAATCCTTTTTTTTTAATACCACCAATATTAGACATATTAAATCAGTCTCATTTAGAAAAGATTGTATAAAACCAAAAATTGTCCCGTGGTATAATGTTACTTAATAACAATATTTATAAAAATTATAAATATCGTTAACATGCCAATTTAATACATATTAAATCTTTAGTTTATTAAAATATAAATGTCTTAGAAAATGATATGATTTGTAAACTTTTATATATAATAAATAATCATTAAATTTTAAATTAAAAACAAATCACATGACGGGTTAAGAAATTACGGAACGAGTTATATTTCGGAAAGGATTTATATGGCGGACGAATTTGAATCAATATTTATATACCGCTTTAATACGGGTTAAATTCTTAGTTTATTAATAATTGTCTCGTGGACTCGTGGTATACCGTTACTTAATAACAATTGTTAACTATAATATAAATAAATATGTTATAAGGAGATACAATTTACAAAATAGTTTTATACTAACTTTAAAATTAAACACCGCGGGTTAAAATCTAGTTTGACTTAATAATGAAACACAATGTTTCATTGGGCTTGGTTGGTTTTGGTCCTTTTGGATGTGACTTTAGATTTTTAGTTGTAGAAATTTTGGTAGATTTTAGTTCTGTAGTGTTTTTACTGTAGAATTTAAAATTTTATGCCTAGTAAAGTTTGTAAAGACTTGCCTTCATTTCCAGAACAAGTGTCGTTAGACCATCTCCATATATAGGTAGTTTTTACGAAGAAACTCAAATTAAAATTAAACAAAAAAACTTAATATAATACTCCCTCCGTTTCAAAATGTAACACGTTTCTATGCAAATGTTTTCAAGTTTCTATGCAAATTATATATTAATTTAATATTTTTTGATTATTTATATTATGCAGTCTCATTCATGATTGGTTGAACTTTTTAAAAGTGAATATTTCGTAAGACATCTAGATTGGCTTGGCAGGGTAAGAGCTGCCCTTGACTCTCTCAGTTAGGAGTTTTAACTAAAACGTCTTATATGTTGAAACGGAGGAAGTAGTATTTTTTAAATCAATTTTGTTTTGTTTAGAATCCTTTCTCATTTGAGAAACCATGAGAAACCCTCTCTCCCTTCTACATGTCACTTTCTTATTAGTTTAAATTTTTGTAACAAGTCAAATCATTTATAGTTTATAATATTAGTTATATACTTTATATGTTTGTTATTTTAAAATTTCATTTTCTAAGAAATTCACAAAATAAAATTATCTATATATCAAGCTTCATTATGGATAAGTTTAAATTATATAACAATATTAGTTTTAATTGGTGTTAGTTAAGCTTAATACACAAAATTAAAGTAATATTGTTTTAATTAATACAATAGTGTTATATAAGAAATTTTTTTTTTTAAATTTTAAATTTTAAATTTATATTTTGGAATATTTTTTAGATTAATATATAATTGTGATTTCATATATATGGATTTAAAATTGAATCATCAAAAATATCTCATGAAATAATGCAAAACTATCTTCAAGCTTACACAAACATTTCTATAAATTTCCATAATTTTGGAAATTATCTAAAATTGCTTATCTAAGAAAACCTGACTTCAACAAAGAAAATGCACAATATAATAGTAGAAGATGAACGAAACAAATACACTCAATATAATGTCTCTCAATTCCAACAAGTAAAATAAAATGAGAGTACACAAGTGGATTCTACATATTCTACAACTATGCCTACTAATTTGGGCAACACTCTCGGCTTAATTAGCTGAACATATATGACAAAAGTTTGGCGCATCATCAAGTGAAAAGTAAAATCAAGTTAACTATATTATCTATTATGGTTTTATATGTTTTTTTGCATTTTAATTTATGTTTTCATGGTTTTATATGTAATTTATGTTTAATTTATATATCTTTTATCATGGTTTTATATGTAATTTAAAGTTTGATTTATGTTTAATTGTGGTTTTAAAAATAATAAACTCTTTAATAATATTATTTATAGTTAATAGTACTATTAATTGTTGCTTTTTAAATTATTAATATTCATACTTATATTATTTACTAAACTAAATAAATATATTTATTTAGTTTGAATAACTATATTTAAGATGTGATTTGATATTTTTAAAAATATTATTGAGATATTAAATTTAATATAAAAATATGAATATTATATTAATGAGATACCCATAAAATATCTCTCACTAATGGAAGTATAATTTTGGGGCTTTTGCAAAAATACCACTTTTTCAATGCCACTTTTCAAAAATACCCTTTTTTTAAAACCTTATAAAAAATGCTGTTAAAAATATAAGATTTACCCAAATATGTATGTAATATTATTAAAACATACACAAACTACATTTCTATGTATCTAAAATCTTATAAATACTTTATAAATACCTTATAAATGCATTTTAAATACCTTTAAAAACCTTTAAAATATCTTGTAAAACCTTTGAAAAACCTTAAAAATCCTTTAAAATAACTTGTAAAACCTTTTAAAACATCTTATAAAACCTTATAAATACTTGGATCGAGTCTTCAAGTAGTAGTTACAATCCATAAGTACCTTATAAACCTAATAAAACTTTATAAAATTTCAGATTTAAAAAGGGGCATTTTTGAAAATGGACATCTAAAAGGAGCATTTTTGAAAAGGGGCACACCAAAAAGGGTATTTCTAACAATTTCCCTATAATTTTAGTATGAGTTTCTCTAAATAAATTAAACATAAAAATATTAATATTATATTGGTGAGATACTTTGCCATTGGAGATGTTCTTAGATGTGAATTCTGACTATCTTTGTCATACCCGTCACCAAGACTAGGAATTGGCCCCGAAATGGCTATTGAGGAAAAGTGGACCAAGATTGAAGAAAATAAATTGTTGGAACTGAGCTAAGGTATTCAAGGACAAATACCAAAGTTTTGATCGAAGAAAATTTGAAGATTGTTGAGGAAAATTCAAGGATGGACAAAGAAATTTAGTTTTGGTGAGACGGTACAGAAAACGGTCGAGCGGAGCAATTATCGGCAGTACACAAATCAGATACGAGCATTCTCCGCGAGCTAGCAAGAAGATAGGAACGAAAAAGGATAAGTATGAGAAATGGATAGAAACAAATATGGATATGTTCGTTCAAACCTATCCGTTGCGGATAAACTTTTTCAAGTCTATCCGTGCATACATATAAGATCGACCATCCCTATCCGCGCAAATGGATAGAGTTCCGGATAAACTTGTTTATACCTATCCGTCCACCTCATGCTTGCCCACCGACCTTCCCATACTATAAATACCACCCATTCTGTTTCATTTGTTCCTTACACCAAAAATCCGAGAGTTTCTGAGTGAGTCTCTGAGAGCGTAGTCGAGGGTCAGGATAGCGGGTATATATATACACTAGATTTTAATCTACGGTACACCGCGAGATGATTTATTTTTCAAGTAACTATAAAAATATTTTGTAAATTGTATCTCCTTATAAAATATTTATTTATATTATAGTTTACAATTTTTATTAAGTAACGGTATACCACGAGTCCACAAGACAATTGTTAATAAACTGAAGATTTAACCCGTATTAAAGCGGCATGTTAATGATATTTATAGATATTGATTCAAATTTCTCCGCCATATAAACCCGTTCCAAAATATCACCCGTTCTGTAATTTCTTAACTCGTCCCGTGATTTTTTTTTATTTTAAAATTTAATTATTATTTGTTATATATAAAAATTTACAAATCATATAATTCTCTAAGACATTTATATTTTAATAAACTGAAGATTTAATGTGTATTAAAGAGGAATGTTAATGATATTTTAAAATTTTATAAATATTGATTCAAAATCGTCGACCATATAACTTCGTTCCGAAATATAACCCGTCCTGTAACTTCTTAACCTGTCCCGTGATTTGTTTTCTAAAAGTAGTAATTTTTAAAATTTAACGATTATTTATTATATATAAAAGTTTGCCAATTTTATCATTTTCTAAGATATTTATATTTTATGGTTTACAATTGTTATGAAGTAACATTATACCACGGGACAAATTTTGGTTTTATACAATCTTTTCTAATTGAGACTGATTTAATATGTCTAATATTGGTGATATTAAAAAAGATTAAGGATTTAATCCGTATTGAAGCGGCGGATTAATGATATTTAATATTTTTATTATTGTTGATTCAAAAACCCGTTCCGCCAAACCCGTCCCGCTAAAAAACTCATTTATTTTATTAATGTTGATCTTATTTATGATATAATTCTGAATCATTGTCTAAATATTTTAATCGATGTAGAAAGTTGAACACATATTTTTGTCAATTGGATAATTTATGCCCGT